AGAATGATTCAGTTATACATATACATATACCCAACCTTTTTAAAGATTTTTTTCCCATATAGGGCATTACAGAGTACTGAGTTCCCCATGCTACACAATAGCACCTGGTTAGTTAGCTGTATAAATAGCAGTGTGTATATGTCAATGCCATTCTCCCAATTTATCCCTCCTACCTTATCCCCTAGTAACCGTGAGTGTGTTTTCTTTCACATCTGTGACACTACTTGTGTTTTGTAACTAAGTTCATGTGTACCTTTTTTTTTTTTAAATTCCACATATAAGCAATATCATATTTGTCTTTCTGGGTCTAACTTGTTACTTCACTCAGTATGACAATCTCTAGGTCCATTCGTGTAAATGGCATAATTTTGTTCTTTTTTATGGCTGAGTTTTATTCCATTGCACATGGGTACCACATCTTCTTTATCCATTCCTCTGTTGATGAACATTTAGGTTGCTTTCATGTCTTGGCTCTTGTGAAGAGTGCTGTGATGAACATTGAGGAGGTGGTGCCTGTACCTTTTGGAATTATGGTTTTCCGAGGATATATACTCATGAGTGGGAGTGCTGGGTTATATGGTGGTTCTATTTTTAGTCTTTTAAGGAACCTCCATGCTGTTCTCCATATTGGCTGTACCAGTTTACATTCCCACTAACAGGGAAGGGTGTTTCCCTTTTTTCCATACCTTCTCCAGCATTTATTGTTTGTAGATTTTTTTATAATGGCCATTCAGACTGGTTTGAGGTGATACCTCACTGCAGTTTTGATTTCTGCTTTATTGACTATGCCAAAGCCTTTGACTGTGTGGATCACAATAAACTTTGGAAAATTCTGAGAGAGATGGGCATGCCAGACCACCTGACCTGCCTCTTGAGAAACCTGTATGCAGGTCAGGAAGCAGCAGTTAGAACTGGACATGGAACAACAGACTGGTTCCAAATAGGAAAAGGAGTACGTCAAGGCTATATATTGTCACCCTCCTTATTTAACTTACATGCAGAGTACATCATGAGAAACGCTGGGCTGGATGAAGCACAAGCTGGGATCAAGATTGCCGGGAGAAATATCAATAACCTCAGATATGCAGATGACACCACACTTATGGCAGAAAGTGAAGAGGAACTAAAAAGCCTCTTGATGAAAGTGAAAGAGGAGAGTGAAAAAGTTGGCTTAAAGTGCAACATTCAGAAAACTAAGATCATGGGATCTGGTCCCATCACCTCATGGGAAATAGATGGGGAAACAGTGGAAACAGTGTCAGACTTTGCAGATGGTGACTGCAGCAATGAAATTAAAAGATGCTTACTCCTTGGAAGGAAAGTTATGACCAACCTAGATAGCATATTAAAAAGCAGAGAGATTACTTTGCCAACAAAGGTCCGTCTGGTCAAGGCTATGGTTTTTCCAGTGGTCATGCATGGATGTGAGAGTTGGACTGTGAAGAAAGCTGAGCACAGAAAAATTGATGCTTTTGAACTGTGGTGTTGGAGAAGACTCTTGAGAGTCCCTTGGACTGCAAGGAGATCCAACCAGTCCATCCTAAAGGAGATCAGTCCTGGGTGTTCATTGGAAAGGCTGAAGCTGAAACTCCAGTACTTTGGCCACCTCATGCGAAGAGTTGACTCATTGGAAAAGACCCTAATGCTGGGAAGGATTGGGGGCAGGAGGAGAAGGGGACGAGAGAGGATGAGATGGCCGGATGGCATTGCCAACTCAATGGGCATGAGTTTGGGTAGACTCCGGTAGTTGGTGATGGACAGGGAGGCCTGGTGTGCTGCGATTCATGGGGTTGCAAAGAGTCGGAATTGACTGAGCGACTGAACTGGACTGAACTGAATAATGAGTGAGCCATGTTGACCATCTTTTTGTCCATTGTATGTCTTCCTTGGAGAAATGTCTGTTTAGGTCTTCTGCTCTTATTTCAGTTGGGTCGTTTGTTTTTTTTAATATTGAGCTGCATGAGCTGTTTGTATATTTTGGCAATTAATCCCTCGTCAGTTGCTTCATTTGCAAATATTGTCTCCCATTATGAGGGCTGTGTTATGTTTATGGTTTCCTTTGGTGTGCAAAAGCTTTTAAGTTTATTTAGGTCTCACTTGTTTATTTTTGTTTTTATTTTCATTATTCTAGGAGGCAGATCAAAAAAGATATTGCTGCAATTTATGTCAGAGAATGTTCTGCCTATGTTTTCCTCTACAAGTTTTATAGTGTCTGGCCTTACATTTAGGTTTTAAATCCATTTTGAGTTTATTTTTGTGTGTGGGGTTAGGGAGTGTTCTAACTTCATTCTAACTTCATTCTTTTACATGTAAGTGGCTAGTTTTCTCAGCACCACTAATTGGAAGGGGCTGTGTTTTCTTCATTGTATACTCTTGCCTCTTTGTTACAGATTAGGTGACCATAGGTGTGTGCGTTTATCTCTGGACTTTCTGTCTTGCTTCATTGATTTATATTTCAGGTTTTTGTTCCGGTATCATACTGTTTTGATGACTAGAGCTTTGTAGTATAGTCTGAAGCCAGGGCCTTCCTGTTCTGTTTTTCCTTGTGAAGATTGCTTTGGCTATTCAGGGTCTTTTTTGTTTTTATACAGACTGTAAATTTTTTTGTTCTAGTTCTGTGAAAAATGTCATTGGTAATTTGATAGGAATTGCATTGAATCTGGGGATTGCTTTGGGTAGTATACTCATTTTCACAGTATTGATTCTTCCAATCCAAGAACATGGTATATGTTTTTATTTGTGTCATCTCTGATTTCATTCATCAGCATCTTATAGTTTCTGAGTACAGATCTTCTGCTTCATTAGGTAGATGTATTCCTAGGGGTTTTATTCTTTTTGATGTGCTGGTAAATGGGATTGTTTCCTTAATTTCTATGTCTGATCTTTCATTGTTAGCATATAAGAATGCAAGAGATTTCTTTTTGGTGTGTGTGAGATGTACGCATTGCTGTATTTATTTTTGGCTGCACTGGGTCTTCATTGCTGCACATGGGCTTTGTGTAATTGTTGAGAGCAGGGGCTACTCTATAGTTGTAGTGCGCAGGCGACTCATTGTGGTGCCTTCTCTTGTGGAGCACAGGCTCTAGGCGTGCGGACTTCGGTAGTTGCAGCATGCAGACTCAAGTAGTTGCAACTTAGCTGGCCCTACAGCATGCAGTCTTCAGTAGTTGTGGTGGATAGGCTTAGTTGCTCTGTGACATGTGGAGTCTTCCCAGACCAGGGGTCAAACCTATGTCCCCTGCATTGGCAGGCAGATTCTTATCCGCTGTGCCACAAAGGAAGTTCAAGAATGCAAGAGATTTCTGTGTATTACTTTGGTATCCTGCAACTTTACTGAATTAATTGATGAGCTCTAGTAGTTTTCTGGTGGGATCTTTAGAATTTTTTATGTATAGTATCATGTCATCTGCAGACAGTGTCAGTTATACTTCTTTTCCAATTTGGATTCTTTGTATTTCTTTTTCCTCTCTGCTTGCCATGGCTAGGACTTCCAAAACTGTGTTGAATAATAGTGGTGAGAGTGGACATCTTTGTTTTGTTCCTGATCTTAGTGGAAATGCTTTCAGTTTTTTACTATCGAGTATAATGTCTGTTGTGGGTTTGTCATATATGACCTTTCTCATGTTGAGATATGTTCCCTCTCTGCCCACTTTCTGGAGAGTTTTTGTCATAAATGAGTGTTGAATTTTGTTGAAAGCTTTTTCTGTATCTATAGAGATGATCATATAGTTTTATTCTTCACTTTTTTAATGTTATATATCACACTGATTGATCTGTGGATATTGAAAAATCCTTATATCCCTGGGATAAATCCCACTTAATCATGGTGTATGATCCTTTTACTGTGTTGTTGGATTTGGTTTGCTAATGTTTTCTTGAGGATTTTTGCGTCTGTATTTGTCAGTGATACTGGCCTGTAATTGTCTCTTTTGATGGTATCTTTGTCTGAAGGGGAGAAGGAAATGGTAACCCACTGCAGTGTTCTTGCCTGAAAAATCCCATGGACAGAGAAGCCTAACCAGCTACAGCCCATGGGGGTCACAAGGAGTAAGACATGACTGAGCAACTTGCACACACATCTTGCTTTCAGGTGGCTCAATGATAAAGAATCCACCTGCCAATGCAGGAGACCCAGGTTCCATCCCTGGATCGAGAAGATCCCCTGGAGAAGGGAATGGCTGCCCACTCCAGTATTCTTGCCTGGAAAACCCCATGGGCAAAGGAACCTGGTGGGTTGCAAAGAGTCGGACACGACTGAGTGACTAACACTTGCCTGATGGTGGCCTCATAGATTGAGCTTAGAAAGTGTTCCTTCCTCTGCAGTTTTTTGGAAGATTTTGAGAAGGAGAGATGTCAGCTCTTCTCTAAATGTATAATAGGATTTACCCATGAAGCCATCTGGTTCTGGACTTTTTTGTTTGTTGGAAGATTTTTAATTATAGTTTCAATTTCATTACTTATGATTGGTCTGTTCTTATTTTCTGCCTCTTCCTGGTTCAGTCTTGGACCCACGGCTGCTAGAGCCAGACCCGTCCCAGCTGCAGGAGCAGTTTGGGATGTTTTGTAGGTGCTGAGTTTAGGAAGCTGTCAACAGAGATGTGACTTCGCAGTTTGATCCACTGTGAGGAGAGATTTCAGCTCTTCCTTCTTACGCACACAGCCCCTGAGGTTCAGCTGCGGTTTCAGCCCATCTTCTGGGCAAATGTCTTAGGGGAGCTATTCATGCCCTCCTGGGACACTGTGGGCGGGTCCTAGCACCTGCTGATAGATTTCCCAGTGTGTGTGTTGGGGGGGTGGTATTTGCGCCCTCATAGGACAACAGGGTGGGTTCTGGCACCCACCCACTGATGGGTTTCCTAGCTGCAGAAGCTCTCTGTGCCCTCCCCCCCCCCCCCCCCCCAAGACAGTGTGGAAAGATCCTGGAGCCCTCTGGTGGAATTCCCTAGAGTGCTGGAGCTGTCTCTGCCCTTCCACAAATATGTTTATAATTTTATTTACAGGAGAACCTCCATTCTTACCAGAATCGTTTGACCGAATTCTTCTCGATGCTCCCTGCAGTGGAATGGGACAGAGGCCAAACATGGCTTGTACTTGGACTTTGAAAGAAGTGATGTCCTATCAACCATTACAGCGAAAACTCTTCACTGTGGTATGTGATGCTTCTTTGTTGTGGAAGAAAGATGACCTAGTTTGATATTTTAAAGACTGAGAGCAGTTTTCATAGCAGCATTATTCACAGTAATTAAAATGTGGGAAAAACCCATGTGTCCATCAGTAGATGAATGGATAAGTAAAATGTGGTTTGTACAAACAATGAAATTTTAGCCAGCCTTGGCAAGGAATGAAATTCTGATGCAAGCTACAACATGGATGAATTTTGAACGTATTATGCTGAATTATATAAGCCAGACACAAAAGGACCAAATGGAGTGTGTGATTCATTTATACAGTGTCTAGAAAAGGCAGAGTCATAGAAATAGAAAGTAAACTATAGGTTACCGGAGGCTGAAAGAGCAGGACGACGAATGGGGAGTTAATGTTTCATGGTTCAGAGTTTCAGTTTGGAAGAGTTCAGGCGATGGATAATGGTGATGGTTGTACAACAGTGTGAATGTATTAATACTTAATGCCATTGAATTTTACACTTAAAAATGCTTAAAATGTGGAGAAGGAAATGGCAACCCACTCCAGTATTCTTGCCTGGAGAATCCCATGGAAGGAGGAGCCTGGCAGGCTACAATCCATGGGGTCGCAAAGAGTCGGACACGACTGAGCGACTTCACTTCACTTTGCTTATTTTAATTGGAGGATAATTACTTTGCAATATTATGATGGTTTTTGATGATGGTTTTTGCCATACATCCCACTGTCACTCATAAAGTACTAATAAAAATCGGAGCCTCATGATTAAAAAAAAAATGCTTAAAATGGTAGATTTTATATATATCACACACAGAGAGCACCAGAGACCTAGTCTTCCTTTGTGTTGACTCATTCTCTCATTGCAGGCAGTAGTAAAATTTCTTCTCTGAGATATTGAATGAATTTGAAACATTCTGCTTTGTCTTAAAAGCAGAGGGTTGTTAACATAGAGTTACTGACTGATGTAAAACATTTGGATATAAAATAAAGTATTTTTGAGTCTTCCCTGGTAGTCCAGTGGCTAAGACTGCACTTGCACTGCAGGGGGCACAGGTTCGATCTCTGAATGGGGAATTAAGATTCCGTATGTCATGTGGCGTGGCAAAGATAATTAGATAAATAAATAGCCTTTTAATAGAGTTCCTAATCATCTTAGTGAATTAAATGTGGGAAATCCAACAGAGGTGACCTCATTCATGAAATTGGGACGTGACAGCATCCAGTGTAGGATGTAGAAGGATCAGGCAAGCTTAGCATCTCGAACTGGTCTCCAGGATGTTTCACAGGAGACCCTGATAAAACATGTGGGAATTTCTCTCAGCCTTGCAAACATGATTTAGTGGATTTCCCAGGATGCAGGCAGCATTGGATCGAAGACAGTCCTGCCGTTTCCTCTCAGCTCTCTAATTATAAACATACAGGCTACAGCAACAGCGAATATGCTCCAATTATTCCCTCTCTGAAGTTGTCTTTGAGTGCCTTTCTCTTCAGCACTCCTGGTGTCTCCTTTCCTACCCAAAAGTGGCACTGGGAGTGGATTGTTTCAGTTTTTTCTTCTGTACAGTCTTGAGAGAACACATCCCGGAAGTTAAAACAGCAAGCAGAGAAAAAGAAGCTTTGCTTATAGCTACAACCCACTTTGACGTTAGGGTAAAATTTTGTTGCTCTTGTTTAGTCGTTAAGTCATGTATGACTCTTTGTCATGCATGTTCTTGTTCTTTTGGCCGTCCCTTTGAGCATGCATGGTTTCAGTTCCTGACTGGGGATTGAACCCAGGTCCCAGCTGTGAAAGTGCAGAGTCCTTGGCCACCAGGGAACTCCCCAGGGAAGGGTTTTGAACTGAGAAGAGGCAGTTTTAAAAGCACCACTTGAGTTGCTGTGATGAGAATAGATGGGAGGAGGGCAGGGAATGAAGCAGGTGGGAAACAGTTGGAATAATCCAGGTGAAAAAAGATCATGAAACTAGGAGCAGAATTGTAGCAGTGGGAGTTGTGAGACTCCTGGGTCTGTTCTGAAGGTAGAGTCAAGAAGATTTACTTGATGGACAGGAATGTAAGGGAAAGAGGCATAAAAGATGATCCAGGGTTGGGGCCTGTACCCCAGGAAGGATGGGGGGATCCTTCTCTGGGTAGCTTCAGAGGAAGGTAGGTGTTCAGTGTGGGATGGGAAAAATATTGAAAAAGCAGTTGAATATATGGGAACAGAAATAAAAAAGGAGTCTCACCTAGAAATGGTGAATTTTCAGCATAAAAATGGTATCTAAACCCATGAAACTGAATGATCGTATTTGGGAAAAGTCTTGGTCCAGATGGGCTGAAATAGCTCCGAGCTAATGAAATACATCTGGTCAGGAACATTGTTTTTTTTCAGTAATCGTGTTTTTCTTTTTATACTTTTTATTTTGTATTGGGGTATAGCCAGTTAACAATGTTGTGATAGTTTTAGGTGCACAGTGAAGGGACTCAGCCATATGTATATACATGTATCCATTCTCCCCTAAACTCCCCTGCCATCCAGGCTGCCACGTAACATTGAGCAGAGTTCCCTGTGCTGTATAGTAGGTCCTTGTTGGTTATTTACATATATAGTTGTTTAGTTGCTCAGTCATGTCCAACTCTTTAACGATCCCACGGACTGTAGCCTGCCAGGCTCCTCTGTCCATGGGATTTCTCAGGTGAGAATATTGGAGCCGGTTGCCATTTCCTTCTCCAGGGGATCTTCCTGACCCAGGGATCTAATCCATGCCTTCTGCCTTGGCAGATGGATTCTTTACCACTGTGCTACCGGGGAAGCCCATCTTATTTATAGTAGTGTGTGTATGTTAATCCCGGTCAGTCAGTCAGTTCAGTCACTCAGTTGTGTCTTAGGCTTTGCGACCCCATGGACTGCAGCACGCCAGGCTTCCCTGTCCTTCACTAACTCCCGGAGCTTGCTCAAACTCATGTTCATTGAGTCGGTGATGCCATCCAACCATCTCATCCTCTGTTGCCCCCTTCTTCTCCTCCCTTCAGTCTTTCCCAGCATCAGGGTCTTTTCCAAAGTATTAATCCCAAACTCCTAGTTTATCCTCCCTTCCACCTTTCCCCTTTGGTAACTGTGTTTGTTTCTGAAATCTGACTTGTCTGTCTGTGCCACCTCTTCTTTACCCATTGCTATGTTGGAGTACAGTTGGTTTACAATGTTGTGTTTCAGGTGTACAGAAAAGTGAATCAGTTATACATACATATGCTGTTTTTCATATTCTTTTCCCATGTAAGTTATCGCAGAATATTGATAGGGTTCCTGTGCTATATAGTAGTTCCTGTTTGATTATGTATTTATATACATAGTAATATATATATGTTAATTCCACTTCCTAGTATATCCGTCTCTGCTACCTTTCCTCTTTGGTAATCGTAGACTTGTTTTTGAAGTCTGTGAGCCTGTTTCTCTTTTGTACATAAATTCTTTTGTATCATTTTTTTGGATTCCACACCTAACTGATGTCATACGATATTTGTCTTTCTCTGTTGGGCTTATTTCATTTAGTATTATGTGTGAGCTCAGTATAGCTTCAGGCATCCTGTCTGCTGATGGGTGGTGAGTCTGTGTGTTCCTGTCTTGCTGGTTGTTTGGTCTGAGATGTTCCAACACTGTAGTGGGCAGGGCCAGGTCTTGGTGCTAAAAGACCTCCTGGAGAGCTTACGCCAATCGGTGTTCCCTGGAGTCTCTGCCACCAGTGACCTTGCTCCCACAGGGAGCCACAGCCAACCCCCGCCTCCCCAGGAGACCCTCCACAACCCACAGGTAGGTCCGGCTGAGGCTCCTGTGGAGTCACTGCTTTGCGCTGGGTCCCAGTGCACCTGAAATCTGAGTGTGCCCTCCCGGACTGAACTCTGTTTTCCCCTGTCCCATGGAGGTCCTGCATTCAAGCCCCGCTGGTTTTCAAAGCAGATGTCCTGAGGGCGGCTCCTCTCGATGTCAGACCCTCAGGCTGGGGAGCCTGACGTGATGCTCAAAACTTTCACTCTGTGGGAAAACTTCTGTGATATAATTAATTTCTAGTTAGTGGGTCGCCCACTGGTGGGTATGGGGTTGATGTTGCAGAAGCGCCCCTCCTGCTGTCTCGCTGTGGCCGCCTCCTTGTCTCTGGAGTAGACTGTCTTTCCTGGTAGGTCCCAGTCCTTTTATGATGGCAGTGGTTCTGCAGTTTGCTGTGGTTTTGGTGTTTTTGTGAGGAGAGAGGTCAGCTCCTTCTACTCCTCTGTGTTGTCTGGAATCGAGGGGGTGGATACTTGCTGCCTCTTTGCTCAGTATGTGCTGGCCCCTGTCCCCTCGTTACGGGTGTGCAGTTGTGGCCAGTGCTCGTTCCCGGGATAGCAGGGATGTGACCATTGCCCGCCTGCAGGTCTTTCAGCAGTGATGGTGGCCTGGGCCTGCCTGTGAAGCCCACCCCCAGAGCTCGTGTGACCACCATCCTGTTGCCTGGGAACAGGCATGGGGAAGGCAGCTCCAAGGTTTCTCTGCCTCTCTCCTTGGGTGCCCTCCCGACGACGGTGCCTTGCCTCTCTGTCAGGCCCTGGCTGCTGCTGCGCGCAGCCTCACTTGCCACAATGGCACCTCTTCAAGCTGTCCCCATGCAGCCAACCCCAGGCCTCTCCCTGGGACTGTCCCCAGAGCCCGAGCTTCCGCACCCAGTCCCCACCTGCGCCGGCAGACGGACATCTCAGCCGGAGGAGCCCAGGGTGGTGGTGCCGGCCTTCTGAGCAGGTCACCCCTCTTTGGGTTCCGCAGACTGGATGGGTTCTTCCGTGACGGGACTTGCCAGGGTGCAGGGATCTCTCCTCCTCCATTCACAGCTCTCTCCCCAGGGTGCAGGGCCCGTCCTGATTCCGTTCTCTTGCCTTTTTCTTTTGCCCGGTTATGTGGAGGTTGTCTTGTCCCTTCAGAAGGCTGAGGTCTTCTGCCACGTTCAGTAGATGTTCTGTGCAAATTATTCCACTTCCAGATGTTACTTTGCATGTACATTTATATACATTTCAAGTGTGTGCTTGCTCTCACGGTGCCCGTGGTCCGACTGCTCTCGTCTTCAGGCAGTGGAGCTGCTCAGGCCGGGGGGCGTGCTGGTGTATAGCACGTGCACTGTCACCCTGGCAGAAAACGAGGAACAGGTTGCCTGGGCCCTCGAGACGTTTCCCAGCCTTCAGCTTCAGCACCAGGTAAGGACCGTGGGGGCTCTCTCTGGGTGATCTGATAGGTCACGGAGGTGTAAGCGTGGTGATAAACTCAGAGAGTTACATGAAGGGATACGTCACGTGAAACTCCTGAAACAAATCTTGTGGAGCGCAAGGCTCTTTCTCCGATGAAAGCCGTTCCAGATGCTCCTGGAACATCTGGAATTTTCACATCCTGAGCCAGGATTTCCAGGCCTTCACTCTTACTGACCAGAGATGTGTTAATACATATTTTGTTATCCAAATGTTCTTGACTGGAGATGTATCAGTATTCACTTACATAACAAATTGCCAGCCACAGGTGTTAGTTTCTGCAAAAATCCTGCAGTCAATAATGTATTAAAATGACCATAGAACTCAGGTGGATTTTTGATACATGTTCTTGTTCATGTTGTTCAGAATTTTGTTTCTAAAACCCTTCTCCCCCACCTCAGTCCTGTATTTTTCTGGTAGGGGAAATGGTGAGCATTTTTTCTCATGACATATCAAAGCCCTAACAGGCTTTAATAACTGGGATTCAAAAGACTAGCCAAGCGAGGGAAGATAGTGCAGGTTTATCTCTTCCTTTGGTTTCTTAGATATAGAACATTTAAAAAATGCCCTTGTACTTTCTTTTACTTAGCACTGCTTTTTAGTTCTGGTTTTATTAAAATATATTTATGACTAGATTTTTTAGCCCATGATGTTTGAGACTAGATTTAAATCTGTAGTAATGCTCACATTAGTTCAGATACATTGGACGTTTAACTTCAGACTTCCCCGGACAGAATTTTAGTAAGTAATTGGATACATAACTAGAAAGCAATCTGGAGATGCTTTCTAGACTCAAAAATTAAGATAATTACAGTGTAGATGAAAAGTAGACTTGAGAATTCACTTGAATTTTGTGTGTGTGTTTATGCATATATATTCAATGTATACTACAAGAGATGGAACCCCACCATGCATTAGTAGACAGTGGGTTTTCTGATATAAGCCTAAGAAAATGTATCTTCAGTAACATAAACACTTATCTGTGAAATGGTGCCTTAAGTTAGGCTTGTGCAATTTTTGTAGTAGTGGTTTGCACAGACCACTCAGTTCCTTACGATTCTTTATTCTTCTAATCAGTGCAGCCTTAGTTTTCTCATCTCTTTAAATACTCTAGTACATTTTAAAAACAACAAAAAAAGAGCATTTTTATCATCCAATTGGTATGGACCAGAGAGAGGCATTTTCAGATGCCTCCTGTCAGCTTTGGGGGGGTCTGACAAATAAAGCTGAGTTTTCATCTCGTGATGTTACTGATAATGTTTCACTTATTGAGTGCCCGCTGTATTTCAGGCATGATATCACCTTATTTATTTAAGCCTCAGAACTGAGTATTTTATCTGTTTGGTAGATGAGGAAACAGGTAAGTTACTGTCCTAAAGTCACACAGCTAAGATGTGGCAGAGCTGTATTTGGAGTCCATGTGTTGCTGACTGGTGCTCAGGCCTTCTGCATGTTGTGGTCCCTGATGAGCATAAAGCCCATCCTAGGAATTCAGTCATCAAGTGACAGCTCGTACTGTTATCCTACTTTATTATCCAGAAAGCAGCATGTCCATTTCTCTCTCTCACACACACACACATACATACACACAAAGGTATTTACTTATTTTTCTGTTTCTGGAATTGGTGGTAGTTACAACTCAGTTTGCCTTTTAACATAAATAGCGCACAGGCCCTCTTCCTAACACGAGGATGTTCACCTGTGTTTATTCTTCTCCCGCGCAGGACCCACAGGTGGGAGGAGAAGGGATGCTGGGAGCTGGCCTGTCACCTGAACAGTTGAAACGGCTGCAGCGATTCGATCCCTCTGCAGTGCGGTCACTGGACCGTGACATTGGTTCTCTGAGAGACGCCAGCATAGAAGACCTGGTTTGGCTGGCAAATAAGGATTGTATAGGTTTTTTCATAGCAAAATTTGTAAAATGCAAAAGCACACAAGAGGAGGATCTTTAGAAATGAAAATTCCAAACATGTGCCATGTGGTTATTATTTTTTTTTAAACCAAACTCTCATCAAACCATATGATTGATGTCGTGGTTGCTGGAGAAACAGAAAAGGCTGCCAGCTCTTCCACCAGGAATCAAGAGACTCTACTTCAGAGAGAAAAACACTGGAGGGTTGGGGTGGGAGTGGGGTGTGCATTGAGATTATATTTTGTGTTTTTAAGAAAATTTTTCCTTTATGGATTTAGCAGAGTATAAAGAAAAGGAGGTGCCTGTCGAAGTCTGGAACGTAATTTCATTTGGGGTCTTTGTTTTAATTTGTAAAGAATGCAAGTCATTTTTAATGTTAAAATGAGTGGATTTTACAAAAGGAATAAAATTAGCAGTATTTAATTTGGTTATAAAACATGTTTTCTGTTACTGAGTTCCTAAGTATGAATTCCTTCAGAATTCAGGGTGTGTGGTCTGTAACTTATTTATCATGTGCCAGGAACCGAGCTGAGGATTTTACTTGACTTTTTCTGTTTACTATTTGGTACGTCAGCCCCTCTTTGCTGTGAGTTCTGGATCACTCCCAAATAACAGTCACCCTTCACTGTGTTTTGTTTTTCCTTCATATTTTAAACTAAAAACTAAAATGAATTTTAACTCTGTAGATTAAAAATGAGACTATTATAGAATTGGGGTACCTTTTATCATCTAATGGACTATACAAATTATTAGAGGTATGATTGGTGAGAAAGAGAAAACCGTCTTGTGAGAGCTGGGAAGTGGCCAGGCCTTGGTATTTTTCCTGCCAAGTCCATAGAACACCAATCCCAGACCATGCAGCTGTGACTAGGATAGATCAAGATAAAACAAGACCACTTCACCATCAAATCTGAAATCACCCAAACCACAGAAGTGACCAGACATCTCCCATAGTGGCCAGTATACATGGACTGCCTTTGTAAGATGATTGTAACTGTGGGCTTGCTTCATCCTGCATGCTTTTTAGATAAGATCTATTAAAATATTCACCATAGGTTAAAAGGTGTCTCATGTCATGTTAAATATATGTTTTGTTAATTCAAATCACCTCAAAACTCCTGAGCCTTTGGGCATGTAAAGTAGATGGTTGGAAACAATTGCCTAATAGTTTCTTTCCCCTCCCCGCCCCTTCACAGGTCTCCGCTGGGCTTCACTGGTGGGCTCAGTGGTAAAGAATCTGCCTGCCAATGCAGGAGATGCAGGTTTGATCCTTGGGTTGGGAAGACCTCCTTGAGAAGAAAATCGGCAACCCACTTCAGTATTTTTGCCTGGGAGATTCCATGGATAGAGGAGCCTGGCGGGCTACGGTCCATGGGGTTGCAAAAGAGTTGGACATGACTTAGCAACTAAACAACAACAACAAAGGGTATGCATTAGGAATTTCTCAAAACTCTTCTTGTGTCGTGAAGAATGCAAGGTCTCGGGTCAGGTGAGATCTTCAGAGGCCTCTGCTCGGAGCAAGCCTTTCTTCACACTCTTCTCTGCGGCTGGGCTGTCTCTGCACCCCTTGGACCTCTTGACTCCTCCTGTCACAGCACTTGACACATCACCCTAGGGAACTAGGCATGCCCTTGATCCCTACCCCCAGGTAGGCAGGAACTTTGTCCTTTCTGTACAGCAGATCACCGTTACACCCTTACTGAAGGAGGGAAAAAATCACACCAAGTGCCCTAAGACTCACTATGTAACTGACTTCTTTCCATCCCTCATTCTGCCTCATACCCAGCAGGTGTCATCTGTCTAAAGAGAAACACTGTTGACCTGTGTACTTCTGTTTCCAGGGCTTGGCATAACCCTGGAACTTTCAATATGATTTTAAAACACACAAAGTCCATCCCTTCTCATGCTCTCTGCAGAACCTTAGGTGCTAGGCTGGGATGGAAATGGTTGGGAAAGAGCCTCGTAGCAAACATGGTAAGTTTTGATTAATACCAGCAAACACCACAATATAAGCAGTACAGGCAAAACAGAAGAAAAATATTTGCATATTGAAAACAGTAATGACAGATAAGAAATAGGGTTACCATTTGTTCCTTTAACAGACATTTTCCAGTGGTTTCTTCAATAAAAAAAAAACCAAATTGGAACACAAAACACATTCAATCTTAAGAAACGCAGACATTTAAGAAAAAATACAATAGAAGAAAGGGAAATACGGAGGAGAACGAATACATTTTTTTTTAACATATTTAATGTTTCATAGTTATTTCTGAAACAGAAGCATTTTAATTCCACAGTGAGTACATTTTACTTCAAAACCGTGTATCACATTTTAAGTAGTAAAGTACAAATACTTAAAAACGTAACTTAGCCACAATTCAACCACTGACCCAGAGACGTCTAATTACCTGTTGTCTCCACCAGAGTGACTCTTGACCTGTTAACGAGATTGGACCAGCAGCATCATGTCATTGAGCCAAGGGTGAGGAATTAAAATGAAGATCTGATGATGGATCAGTTTAAAAGGGAAAAAATAAAATTCAACATCGGAGGCAAGAACTGCTGAACATGGAAGGATGAAGGTGAGAGGAAGCTGATGTTGCTGTGCTCAGACGCCCGGAGACCTTTGACCTGCTGGAAGCTGGCACTTGTCAGTCAGCGTGGGGAGGGGCCGCAGCCCGTGACCTCCCTGCCCCCGGAAGATAAGCCACGTGAGGGAAGTGCAGGTAAGTGTTTAACATACTTTCAACTGTAAGACTCACTCCTGAAATGGTAATTAATACTACTAATAGTAAACAGTGCAGAAGCCAGCTCTTTATTTGTTTGATACGAATGACTTTAAACCAGGCTTGTTGAACAGTTTGGTGTAGCTGACAGTGAAGGTTTAACATGAATGCAGAGCAGACCATGTTCAAATGTGGCATTGTCCCAAAGTACAGGATAACTAAGACGGCCTACATTTAGCAGCACCTTTTTGTAACAGTAACTTAAATGAGCAGTAGAGAGAGAGCAGAGAAAAAATCGAAATGGGTTTGACAAGGAAAAAAAACCATAGAACTATTCAGAACATTTCCAGCATTTTCTAGGTTAACTACAAAAATCATGATTCTACAACCCAGTTGGTTAAGATGAAACCTTTGCTGTGTGAAAAGACTTAGAATTTTACATTCTAGGAGTCAGTAAATATCCCATTGTCCTTGGGATTGTTTCTTCATTTACATATTTTGCACACACCGTTTACACATACACCCACTACAGTCTTCACAGATAGATGCGCTTATGTCAAATCCTGCAATAGAGGTTTCTGAGGAACACTCTGATTTGGACTAATGTGTTTCACAGTAAAGTGAGAAATGAAGGGTCCAGGTACAAAATTTTTAAAAATGGAATCCGTTAATGTAGTTCTTTGAAAGGGATTAATGGTAGCAGCAAAAAAGATACATACCAGTTATACCTCAAGAATTCAAATATTCCAAAGTCATGAACTGGGATGTAATTTTGTATAGGAAAGGTTGGGGCCAGTGATTAGGACATCTTACCATGATGAAAAGTTGACTGGAAGTATTTTATAAAAGTAACTTTAATTGGAACATGGTTTCCCAATGATGTGACTAATTTATACTGAAAATTTATATATTATGACTAGTGTCTTTATATTCAATAAATAAAGGTATGTCAACAGTACAGAGCTAATTAACAGATTGAGGGAAATGGTTTCTCTATTATCTGATATAAAAATGAATTATACATATAGTGTTTTAACTCTTGAGTTTTCTTTGGGGGAGGAAAATAAGGAATGAAACATGAAACAGTTTTACTTGTAAAGGTCTAAGGATATTTGGCAAGAACCTGGGATAACCAAAGAAGCGAAATAAAAAATAGCCTAACTTATTTAACAAAATAAGAATTTTTAATGTCCAGGTCTGAAGGTAGGCAATCATAGAGAGGAGTTTTCCAGGAACAGACTTCAAGTGCCAGGTCTGTGCACACCTAATACTGTCTTACCCATCCAGGCATTACTGGACAGACAGACATAGAGACAGAGCAGGTTTTGGCCTCAGCATGACAGCCACCTCGTGGGCTGCTGCCAGCGTGTCCCTGACACCAGGCTCAGCATCTCTGGCTTCCCCTTCAGGGCAGGTGTCCCACGCAGGAAAACCTCAACATCTTTGTTCACTTCAAGTCACCTCATTTTGCCCTGATTTCTTCTAAGAGCAGAAACTTTGGTTATAAGAAGCACTTCTAGGTTTTGAAGGACAGTGAAAGTGTCGGAGTGGGTGGGGGAGATGGGGATGGAACGGGAGGTGATGGATGGAGGAGAGAAGAGGGGAACAGCCAGCGGGGCGGGAGGAGTCACGGTCTCTGATTTTCCCCTGAAATTATTCTACAAGCTGTGTAAACGTTTCTCCCTACGACAGACACTCGGACACATGAAAGATCAGACATTTCCAGTGGAACACTCACAGTTAAAAGCGGCCCGTATTTTTCCTTTCCAGGGGCACAGCCAAGGAGCCAGCAGGTGGGAGCTCTCTGAACGAGTCCCCTTTGGCAGCGAGCTACCCCCTACGCCCCGGCGGCTCCCGCAGCAGCATAGTGAACGGCGGAGCCAGGTGGGTGCGTGCCGGTGGCCCAGGCTGGACGCTTCTTGCGTCTTCCACACTCACACCCTCCACTTGCTCGCACATGCTCACTCCCAGACCCACACGCACACGGGTTCCAGCTCCTAAACTCCAGTGCTGTGACCTCAGACACTAGCTACGCAGGACGTGGTCGTCACAATCAGTGTGAACTGCACGGAGTAGAACAACTCTTGGAGTTTGGTTATATATTTCCCATAGTTTATGGTCAGAAATGATAAACTTACAAGGATGGTGAAACATTCAGAAATCAAACCTTTTCAAGTCAAGCAGCCACACGTATTTACAGTATGTACAGACTCTCTAGTGAATGGGGATGGGCGTCGAGTCGATGCTATTACAAATTTCCTGAAGGTGGGCTTTTCTAGTCCCTGTAATTCATAAAGCAGGTCTGCTGACTTGGCATTAAGACTCTAAAACAGTGTGATCAAACTGATATATATATATATATATTATATATAATATATATAATTATTGTAAGAAGGTGTTTGCAGAAATAACATTTACAAACTGTCTATACAGTACACAATACTAATACATAGAAAATAGATTCTGACTTTATGATCCCCTTTGTGTAAGGCAAGACTGAATCTGTCCCCAAATTTAGTCAGCCGGAGGTACAAGCAAGAAACAGTGGTCCATGGATGAATATGCAAATCAGGTGCCTACATATTAAAAAATCGGCAAGAATCAGGAAACTCCACTTTTTATCTGGGCCAGTTCTGGCCTACTGGATACATCAACCACATTTTCGAAAACATCAGCTATGCTTCTTAAAATACGAACGCCACTCAGACAACAACAGATTTTGTTCGAGTGGCAGCTACCCTAGATGGGGTTCAAGGATCTGTAGACAACCGGGGGCCTGCAGTCTTTCCAGGCCAATTGATAGAGCACTTACAAAAGAAAAAAAAGAAGTGTAATTAATACTCTATTTTATGCTGTTGCTATCCAAGCAACAGCAGTACAAAATATACAAGACAAATCACATATGATTGCAATGTAGACCCCCACCCCCCTCCTCAAGATCGAGTTGGGCGGGTGGTGGGTATACAAGACTTAAAAAAAAACACAACACAGAAAGGGCAGAAGAGTCATTGGCGGATGTAAACATCCCTGTTCCAGTCCGCAGCCTCGTTCCGTCTCCGGGACGCCCCCTCCCCATCCTTGTCACAGTAGCGATCCTTGGATTTGTGGCGGCTCCGCTGTCTGTTGCACTCGTTGTGGTCCTGCTCCCGGTCCCTGGAGCGGTGCCGAGCCTCCCTGTGTCTGTGCTCCCCGCCCGCGTGGGGCTCCTCGCGGTGGTTGTGGTCGCGGGGCGGGGCGTAGTGGTCCGCGTGTTCGTGCGAGGACTCTTCCTTGGGCTCCACGTAGGCGGAGTCGCGACTCTCCTGCGTCTCCGAGTCCAGGGTCTCTTGCCTGGAGAGGCCTCGGCTGCCGCTGCGATGGTTGTGGTGCTGGGTGGAGGAGCGATGCTGGGCTTTCTTGACCGGTTCCGGGCAGGGTTCTTCTTCAGCTTGAGAAGCAGAGCGGGCCGGAGCCCCGCGATCCGTCCTCTGATCCCCTTGAGAACCCTGCAGGCAGAGGATCAAATACAGAACCCCTGTCACAAAGGCAGGTACTCTTAAGTCTAGTCCCTTTGTGCTGTCCTAGGTGCTTACAAATTAACGTCAAGTCCAATATAATATAAATGCTACTGGATGTTACCAAAAGAACTAAGCAAGCAAGCTGCATTAGATTTCATTTCAGCCTTTTAGAGACTTTGAACAGAGTAACTTTTTTTTTTTTTTTGCCTTTTAGATGAAGGAAGGAGGGATTTCTTTTAAATATTCTCTTGTGGTTCAAATACAGATACAAATTCCTGACATTTGTCTACACATGGGTGTACACTGAGCCACACCTCTGCTCAGATACAGGTGGGAAGATAAATTCTGGAAATATTGGCTTTAAGGAAAAAAAAATGATAAACAGTCAGATGCTTAAATGGCACTTAATGAGACCAGCACTAGCATAAGATAGTCACATATCAGATTATTAATACAACGCTCTATGCTCATCTTTGAGAAGGGTCACAAGATGGAACCCTTAAGACAGCCCCATGAGGTTGGTGCTGTTAGATGCCTGAGGCACAGGGCCCGGGAGGGATCTGAACCCAGGCAGTCTTGAGTCCACAGTCTGTGCTGCCGGCCTGTAGAAAGTTCCTCCTCTCTTCCTGTCTAATACAGTTAGTGGTCTGTGGTAACCTAGAGGTGGGCATGGTGGGAGGGCAGTCCAAGAGGAAGGGGATAGAGCTGATAGACATAATAGCTGTTCCACTTCCTTGTAGGAAGAAACCTATACAACCTTGTAAAGCAACTCTACACCAATTAAAAAAGAATATGGGGCGAGGGGATCTACATTCACAGGATGCTGTTTACACTGCTTTTCTTACAGGCACACAGCTCACTCGGGAGACAGCTGCCTGATAGGAGCAAATGCTGTGTTGGCATCCCGGGCGTGGACGAGGGCTCCGCTTACCTGTGAGTTGGAGGCTAGCGTGGGGCTGACGGGCAGGGTGGAGGTGGCTAAAGTGCGGCTGAGAAGGGGGTTGGGGAGACTGCTGCTGGGAGGGTGGGTGGCCTTCCAGTAGGCCTCCAGGTAGTCGGCCAGGTGTTCACAGGCATCCTCGAGCTGGTTCTCATCCAGGATCACGTCAAACAGCTCCTGCAGGGGCAGACATTACAGATAGCACACTGACACCTCCCCCCCACCGTAGAGGAGAAAGCAGGGAGCCCCTTGGTCTCTGCTCCCGCTGCCGGACTCCTCCACGGACTGTCCTCTCCGGGCAGTGTCGACACATGTATCACTGGTATCAATGACTAGGAAGTGGACAGGTGTAGTAACAGTTGTTAAGGGCATGATAGAAAATTTGCTAATAGTGAAAAAAAGGAATTGACCCTACGTTAGGAGAGAGATGTAAAAAAGAAAAGACTATAAGCCAAATAGTATAGGAAGAAGTCTGTTTTCGACATAGAGACTGTGAAAAGCTGAATCTTGGAAATAGCTGCGGCAAGGGAAGGACATGAAGCCAGAACAACCTAGAAGGTAGGGTGGGAGGTAGGCAACATATGTGTACTTATAGCTGGTTCACTTTGCTGTGCAGTGGAAACTAACACAACATTGTAATTATCCTCTCATTAAAAAAAGAAGCCAAAACAAAACCCAGAAGCATGGTATGCACAACAGGGATGCAAGGTAGGAATGGGTTCAGGGGTCAGAATCTGCTTACTGACTGGTTTGGAAATTGGTGTCTACATGGTTTCAGATCAATTTCATAGATGGTGATAAAGAGCCAGCAACTTGCTCCCAGATTAGAAGTGAATAATAAACCAACCCCAAATAGATCCATTTTTCCAGCCAAACTGCTGAAACAACAATTGTGTTTCACTTAAGATACTATGGAAGCGTTAGATATTAACAAAGCGACATCCCCACGGAACATACTGTAGCCTTCGTAAGCCACGACCATGACCTAGACCCGTGCTCAATGGCAAGAGGTGGACAGTTCTCCAATTTGGGAAGAAGCCCACTGCTAATGGAGAGGCTTCTCTTCTGGACAAGTGTTTACCTAGTCTGTCTTGTTTTTGTTAACAGCGGGGCTGATGACTTCAAGTGGATTATACTGAACAGAGAGACTTACTGGAGGACACTGAGCTAGCTTATCTGCCGCCACCATCTGGACATTGAGGTGTTTTGCTTGAGATTTCCCTCGAGACTTTATTAACCTCTGTAAAACCTGCAAAAGATGAGGTTTTTAAACAGCAGTGTCTGTACTCAGGTAAACAACAAGGTTCATTATTCACTCGTTTCTCTAGGACCTTTTTCATACAGCACTCACGGTTTACTAGGCAAGAAAATAGAATATTTAAGATTTGGAAAATTAACACATCTTGGTTGCAAGCTTCAAAAACCACCAGCATGGGGATTATTCTGAATCTTTTTTTAAGGCTAGCACTTCTCAGACTTTATTGCTCATGATTTATGTTTTTAAAAACTGTTGAGAAATCCCAAGGGCTTTTTATGTGAACTAGAATATTTACATACTAGACATTAAAACTGAGAAATTCATTTAAGAATGACCAATAAACCTCTTGCATGTTAACATATATCACTTATTTCAAGAAAAATAGCTAAATTATTTGCAAATTTCTCTACCACCTGACTTCACAGAAGATAACCAATGTTTCCTCTTTCTACATTTAATCTGCCACAGTACATTACTTTGAAATACGTGAAGAAAATCCAGCCTCTTCCACATACGTAATTCAGAAAAGGAGGAGTATTTTAGTAGCCTTTTCAGATAATTGTGGATATTTTTCTTTGATACTACAGTAAACAAGTGGTAGCTTTTTAAAGATTAGCTGCCATGTGACATCTGAAACCCTACTCTATTAAATTCCATTGATTTGTCCTGAAATTTGAATGGCATGTCATTTGTTCTTTCCAATAAAAACGGTGTTCTAGGATGACTCCAATAATGACACCAGTACTTGTCCTCAAATAACTGACTTTTGAGTATGCAGCTGAAGAACTTGATGTGCACTTCCCATTTTGTTATGTAGAATATTAAAAAGGCTTGTAGTAGCTTTTTGAAGAGTCAAAATTTAATAAACAATTTTGCTACTTTATCAGACCTTTTTTTAAAGTACCACAATAACATTTTATTGACTAAATATTAAAATGACAAATATTTTTGGCTTAAATAAAATAACATTCTTAAAACTAATATCACCAGTTTTTGTATTCTTAGTGTGGACACCAGAAATTGTGAAAGAGTTAATGATCATAAAAACTTAATTCCTAGCACAGTTAACTTAATAATACTCAGATATTTCACAAGAATCCATCTAAAATCACAGGCGAAAGAGGCATCGTCTCTTCTAACTTGAAGGTTGTCAGTAAAAAATCTGCACCTTATTCTGACCTAGTCTGGGACATAGATTTATATTTTAGTAATGCCTTTAGACAAGAGCAAGGATCTCCTATCAATATACATACCCGGAACTAATGTATCCAGTGTTTTCAAACTCCACTAAGAAAGTGGCACTAGATGCATTTTCATTAGGACATTAAGTGAAACTTGATAACCTGGTGGTGCACGGTGAGGAGGAATGCAGCAGCTGCTAGTCTGTTGTCGTCTTGCTTCCTGCCTAGCCATTACCCACCACTTCTTTTGCACCATCAGGACAAAGGTCAGGCCAGGGGAAGAGGAGGAGAATGTCTGAGGATTATCAGGGAAATGACCTTCTAGGCCCTCTGAAAGTGTCTCCAACCCTCCCCCACCAGGAATCCACAGGCCACACTTTGAAAATCACTGTTCTCAGCCATGAAGCTTATCACTGTCTGCTTATATGAATCTTAACACTTCTCATCTACCATATCTCTCTTCAAATCCTTAGTGATGGATAAAGAAGCAGCCTGTTTGTAACTGGAAGGCAGACTGTAAAGTTTCACTGCAGAACAAATGGTAACAGCCCTGCTTACCTTAGGAGAAGAAATCTTGACATACACTATAATAGGGGCCAGAGAGGTTTTACTGAGCTGGGCTGGGTGATTGATAGTGTCCGCATCAAGGACCACCAGTTGCAGTGTTCTTGCAAGTTCAAAAATCCTTTCGATTTCACTCTGAACTTCCGCTGTAAAAGGTGAAGCAGAGCTTGATTACTTAAAAGTTCAGCATTTTTAGACCAGACTGAGAGAAAGTAAGATGGTTACTCAGGCAGGTGAGCTGTTGTTGATGTCTACAGGTAAGAGAGCTGATAACAGGCATCCTTTGCAACGAGCCATTCCTTCACAACACCTCGAGAGTTTAGAAATTCCTCTCTCACCCAGTTACGAAATTTATTTCCAGTTTACCACGATGTCTATAAGAGTCAAACTTTTTGGCTCTCTGTGCTTATTTGTTTTGGGGGGCTATAAAACTTCACTCCATGGAGTCATTTTATTAAAATGTAAAATAGAAATATGAAGAGAGCTCTTTCTTGTGTTTTGTTTCTGACCACTCAACCCATCACCGGCCTTCCTGTCACTGCACGGGTGTATCTGTGTTTACCTGCCACCCCTTGGTATGCTTTCTGGAGATGATGGAGTCTAGAGATGTTTATGAGCAAGTGGAGCTACAGCAGGAAACAGAGATTTTCAGAATGTCTATAACAAACCTACCCAGAAACACACTTCTTGTATTTTCCACCAACAAAAAGATGGTCCTATAACATTCATGCTTTAAAAGGGCAGTTATGTATTGGAGGCAGCACCTCAGATATATAATCTATTAGATTTATAGAAAAACAAAAAAAAATTTACTTGAATGCCAAAGTGTTTTCATTCAGTTCATCTATTTCTCCATTCTCTCTCGAGTGTAAAAAGGGCTCTCCAAGAATACTTTCTGTGATGATGGATATATACTATATCACTGCTATGGAGAACCCGAAATGTAGTAAATGTGAATAACTATTTCTGAGAGTCAGATAAAAGTTAAATAGCCAGAAACTATGTTTCTAAGTATCATAGATCTGTAAAGGATAATATGTAGCTTGCAGTGCCCACTACAGTCATGAAGGGCCAATCCCATGAGATGCCTGGACCTACAGGACACCATTTAGTTCCTCTTGTGCATTCAGGTCCATGCAGAAGATTCCTGGAGATAATTTTAACTTTTGTATTATTCCAGAAAAGGCATGCCACTAGTCACCTGCCTCTTACCAAGAGTCCTTTTGTTTACCTGGATGTCTTTAAAATGCCCCAAACTACTTGTGATACGAGCTTTAAAGTAGTACTTGGTCACATTACCACTCATGACACAGTTTTGCTAAAAGACAAAAAAAAACCTATTAAGCTTCTCAATAGACCAGTTTACAAGAAATACAGGGAACAGACAGTTGTGTAAACTACACCAGCGTAATTTAGTTAGCAAAATTCAGTCTCTGAATTCCCCTGTAGGATAAGTAGGATAACTGACCTTGTTTTCTTAAAAAAATTACAAGGAGATAAAAGATATATGGAAAACAGGATTAAGAGATTCAAGGACCTAAGAACCAATCACAGTGTGTGAACTTTATTTGGATCCTGATTCAAACAAATAGTAATTTATTTATTTTATGATGCAGAAGTGAATAAAATGTTTATGTATATATATGTGTGTGTATAAAATGTATGTGTTTGCATCTATATAGTATATGACAGCTGGGAAATGATACATGGCTGAGTGGCACCTGATGATACCAGGTGCATTAAGGTACATCATTAAGGTACAACAAGGACTTCCCAGGTGGTCCAGTGATTAAGACTCCATGCTGCCAATGCAGGGGCCCAGGTTTGATCCCTGGTCAGGGAACAAGATCTTGGCTGTGGCAACTCAAACCTGCTGCAGCCAAATAAATATTTAAACAAGAGGTACAATAATGATTATGGTTTAAGTAAAAGGAGTCTCCACTGTTTAGAAATACACACTGAAATATTTACAGATAATATAAGTATCTGGGATTAACTTCAAAGTAAATGGTTGAAACTAGGTAACAAGTACCTGGGCTTTCTTACAGCATACTGTTCATATATATTTTCTTAAAATCATTCCTTTTGTAATAATGTTCTAAAACATTACTAATACTGTTATTTGCTGTCTTCTCTTGCTGCTTAAATTTTTTATTCCAATTATAACCTTGCTTCTCTGTGCCCTGTGTTTTCACAAGCCACCAATCACCAGTAGTGAAGTTCCAATCTAAGTTTATTGTAAGCATTAAGAAATTTGATTAGTTTACAGCTGACATCATACTCAGTGGAAATGCTAGAGATTTCCCCTGAGATTAGGAACCACACAAGGATGCACACTCTTGCCACTTCTTTCAACATAGTATTGAAAGATGTAAGCAGAGCAAGTAGGCAGACAAATTGGAGAGGAAGTAAAACTCTATTTGTAGCTGACATGCTGATATATATATATAAAACTCTAAAGACTCCCCCAAAAGACTGTTAGAACTAATAAATGAATTAAATTGCAGGATATAAAGTTAGTCTGCAGTACAGCTCAGTGGAATAAGATGAGTCACAGACACACACAGTCCTGCCATTTGCAACAAGACTAATGGACCTTACCAACTTTATGCTAAGTGAAATTAGAGACAAATATATAATCTTACTGAAATGTGGAACTGAAAAAAAAACAACAAGTTCATGGATACAGAGAACGGGGGGTGGTGGAGGGTGATCAAAAGTACAGTGAAGTCCCAAGGATGTAATTGGAGTTAGTGATACTGTCTGTTTGAAAGTTACTAAGAGAGTGGATCTTAAGCAAGATCCTCTATGACCCACCTCCCAGAATATTGGAAATAAAAGCAAAAATAAACAGATGGGACCTAATTAAACTTAAAAGCTTTTGCACAACAAAGGAAACTATAAGCAAGGTGAAAAGACAGCCTTCAGAATGGGAGAAAATAATAGCAAATGAAGCAACAGACAAAGGATTAATCTCAAAAATATACAAGCAACTCCTGCAGCTCAATTCCAGAAAAATAAATGACCCAATCAAAAAATGGGCCAAAGAACTAAACAGACATTTCTCCAAAGAAGACATACAGATGGCTAACAAACACATGAAAAGATGCTCAACATCACTCATTATCAGAGAAATGCAAATCAAAACCACAATGAGGTACCATTACACGCCAGTCAGGATGGCTGCTATCCAAAAGTCTACAAGCAATAAATGCTGGAGAGGGTGTGGAGAAAAGGGAACCCTCTTACACTGTTGGTGGGAATGCAAACTAGTACAGCCACTATGGAGAACAGTGTGGAGATTTCTTAAAAAACTGGAAATAGAACTGCCATATGACCCAGCAATCCCACTTCTGGGCATACACACCGAGGAAACCAGATCTGAAAGAGACACGTGCACCCCAATGTTCATCGCAGCACTGTTTATAATAGCCAGGACATGGAAGCAACCTAGATGCCCATCAGCAGACGAATGGATGAGGAAGCTGTGGTACATATACACCATGGAATATTACTCAGCCATTAAAAAGAATTCATTTGAATCAGTTCTAATGAGATGGATGAAACTGGAGCCCATTATACAGAGTGAAGTAAGCCAGAAAGATAAAGACCATTACAGTATACTAACACATATATATGGAATTTAGAAAGATGGTAACGATAACCCTATATGCAAAACAGAAAAAGAGACTCAGATGTATAGAACAGACTTGTGGACTCTGGGAGAAGGCGAGGGTGGGATGTTTCAAGAGAACAGCATTGAAACATGTATATTATCTAGGGTGAAACAGATCACCAGCCCAGGTTGGGTGCATGAGACAAGTGCTCGGGCCTGGTGCACTGGGAAGACCCAGAGGGATGGGGTGGGGAGAGAGGTGGGAGGGGGGATCGGGATGGGGAATACATGTAAATCCATGGCTGATTCATGTCAATGTATGGCAGAAACCACTACAATATTGTAATTAGCCTCCAACTAATAAAAATAAATGGGAAAAAAAAGTTATCCTCACAAGAAGAAAATCTGTAACTTTGTTAACTTGTAAGTAATCTTTCTGTGATCATTACACAATATATACATGTGTCAAACCAAGTTGTATACCTGTCAGTTATGTCTCATTAAAAAGAAATTTGATCACAAAGATTATCATCTGTGTACCAGTTAATGACAGGTATCCACACAGTCACAAGAGTCCCATGCCTTAAAAATAACTTGTTTTTTAGAGGTTTGAGCACTATTAAAAAATGATTATAAATGTAATTTGTTGTTGTTTATTCACCAAATCGTATCCGACTCTGCAACCCCATGGACTGTAGCCAGCCAGGCTCCTCTGTCTATGGGCTTTCCCAGGCAAGAATATAAATGTAATACTTGTTACTAAATCTGGGTAACAGATAAACATAAAATAATCCATTATCTTACTATATATCCAAAAATTGTATCTATTAATGTATATCAATGTATGTATATATATATATATAGCTTAATATATGTATCATGGACATGTGTGTATATATGCATATATTCTAGTATTCTTAGATACACAGATACCTTACACTTTTTAAATTAAGGTGGAAAATGAGATATTCTTTAAAAACTTAAAAAGATTTTTTTAAGAAACCCAATGCAACATATTTGTAAATAAACCTTATAAAGAGATGACCAATAAATTCTGAAGAAAATGCTTTTAACTTCCAAGTACAAAATGATGCTTTCAAAAGAAATGTGCCCATACTAGTGGTTTTTCTTTGATGGAGTACATCATGCTGAGAATTTATTTCAAAAAAGAAATAATGCTGCTGATGTTCATTTCTGAAACTGAAAAGCCTTATTTATCTGTCCAGATCCCAATGTCTTACACCTACTGAATTTAAACTCGCTGCTGATACTATGAAAAACAGTATAGAGGTTCCTCAAAAAAGAGCTGCCATATGACCCAGCAATCCCATCCCTGGGCATATATTCAAACAAAACTGTAATTCAAAAAGATACATGCACCCTTATATTCATAGCAGCACTATTCACAATAGCCAAGACATGGAAATGACCTAAATGTCTATCAACAGATGAGTGGATAAAGAAGATGTACATATACACAATGGAATACTACTCAGCCATAAAAAAGAAAATGTTGCCATTTGCAGCAAC